GAAGAGAGAGAGAGAGAGAGAGAGAGAGAGAGAGAGAGAGAGAGAGAGAGAGAGGGGGGGGGAGATGAGAAGAAAAACTGTTCTTGGAACCGTGGGTCCCTTTGTCATACACACTCACACTATCAAACAGATACAAATTACACACACACACACGCAAGCACAAAGGCATAGTCTTAAAAAATTAAATGCAAACTTGAATTTTGCATGTGATTGGTATAGCACTGTATGTCAATTCCTGGATAGGCACGTGGCAGCAAGTTATATACACAATCAAACCCTCTTATATCGCTTACGTTGGGACGAGCATGGAGTTGGCAGTAAAGCGGGGCTGGCGTATAACTGGACAGCACAGATTGCTATTTTGACTAGGGGCAAACTGTAGCTAGTCTTGACTCATCTAGATCTGTCTAGCATTATTGCTATTCGCAATGGAAAAACGAGTTTAGCAACCAATTACATGCACAGCTTCAATTGAATTTTACGTAACTTCAAAGTTGAAATTCCTTCCGGGTGAGAAGCTAGGATTACATCTATGTGTCGAGGACCCATTACACGTACAGACCTGTCACGTCGACTTAAGCTCGAGTCCTCACAGTGCATAAGTCTCACGGGTGCCCGCCAAACTTTTTGGTCATCGGGCTGATATCTGGAGGTATACAATGTTTTGCTGAGGTGGCGCAGTCCATTTGATGTTTCTCCAGGCAACTTTACATTTGCATTTCAATGTATTTATTTTGAATATTGCCGAAAGCCTAAAAATAATAGCAGTTTCAGTATCAGCGCAAATCGAGAGCAAATCCTCGACAAACTCTAGAAATAGGCCGAACTTGAACAGACGTGCATGGGAAAGAGATTATCCAGTAGCCTCCGCTTGGGTGCTATGTCTAGTGTGTACCTCCGGCCCCTGTCAGCCGATTCACTGGCGGTATAGGAAGGGGGGGGGGGTACTTTAGTTTGATATGGACCGTACATCTCAGATAGTTGGCGGATGGCAGATAGTGTAAAGGCACAAATATACTATGTTTATATAGGCGTTCCTTTTCGTACGTTGACAAAACCTGGCAGTGAGCGGGGGTAATGGTACAACGGGATCCGGTAATCAACGAGGTTTGACTGTATCGGCACTCTTTGGCTAGGCATTTTGACCAATTGCAATGACCCCAGTCTGTCGTGCGCGACGAGGTCTTGATGATCGCTACCTGGACCGATCATAGCCGACGGGCGCGCGCTAATACGGGGTGCCCAATACGGATGAGATCGGTCGATCCGCCCGATCCAGCCGAAGTGGGCACCCCGACGACACGTCGCATATAAGGAGACTGGTTATACAGCGGCGGGCGCCCGTGAGGCTTTTGTTTACGGCTGGATCGGGCCTATCGCCTGACTCGATCGCCTGAAACTGAAAACAAACACGTTTGTTTTCGAGGCGATCGAGTTGGGCGATGGGCCCGATCGGCCGATCCCATCCGTAGTGAGCACCCCATATTAGGACTCACACTCAAGTCTACGAGAAAGGTCTGAGGCGACCCGAGTGATGGCGAGTATCGTTTAAAAAAAATCTGTACGCCTACATGGTTTGAACGCATTTAGCTTAGCTTCTGATCCAGCAGAAAATGGAGCTATGCTATATGCGTAATTGGTTACCATTTGTTTCCCCCTAAACACGGCAATAGCACACGACAGATTTAGATTAGTTAAGACTGACCACAGTTATTGCGTCTAGTCTCTACCATTCTACCACTAGTCAAGATGGCAATCGGTGCTATCCCGTTTTACCACCAGCCCCGCTGTACCGCCAACGTTATGCTCGTCCTAAGGTAGCCGGTATAATGGGGTTTGACAGTATGTAATTCTAGTGGCACAGACCTTTGAGTCACCTTTTAGAAGAATCCATACACTGTTCAGTACTCAAACTTTAAAAGAGTGTAATATTAATTAAATATCACAAAAGCACGATGGATTCGGATGTTTATGATTTTGAGCTTAAGAATTTAGAAAACTGTAGGTTTCTATCATAATGCATTGTTATGAAACTCCAGAATTCAGTTCCATAAAAAGTAAGCGTCTGCTCGTTAGTTTTGGGCCACAGGCTATTCACAAGGCTAATGTATGTCGTTGACACAGTATTTAAGATGGCGGTCACTGGGGTGTCTCTTATTATACCTTTAACGTCACTCGATAAACTCAGCTCAAAACTTGGACGCTGCACAGTTGCGACGGGCAATGATGAGTGGATTGTCTATGTTCGTTATATAGCGTACCTTTCACGGACTTAATTTTAATTTTATATATACGTCATTATAAAGCAAATTTCTCAAGGGAAGCAAATAAATGTAGTGGATTTTTTTCTCAATCTTCATCTTTATTTACTAGATATATTTCCAAAAAAGTGACAACAAGACTGTTCCCAATAAATCGCGGATATCGTGACCGTCGAAAGCAATTCACGATAGTTTCAGCCATAAGCTCTAGATTGTCGTGATGAAGTGCAACTACTATTTTAGTATTCAGTATTCTAATGGCGCCGCTTTGTGTGGGAAAACAGGCAGTATTCCTAAGAACATGAAAGAGCCGGATTTCATGATTTCGAGCTTTAGAATGTATAAAATTGTAAGTCTGGATTGCTGTGTATCGTTATGAAATAACCCAGAACTGAGCCATTGCTTTCGAAGTTCACTTTTAAGAAAAAATTGTTCTTCTCCGCTTTGCATTTCGCACGGTTCGTAACATGGACCATGCTTAGCTATATCAAACATTAAGATGTTTTAAAAATCTAAAGTGTGATATAAAGTTAAGTGAAAATCTCCCATGTGGCAGTATCATTTTAAAACGAGAAAAGATGACAATGTTATCGATAATCCTAAGCCACAACATAATATTATTTATTTATGAATAGTTGAATTAATGTAGACCTGTTTTATTCTCTTCTTCGCAATTATTATTTCTATTGTTTTGCCAGTTGATTTTGATATGACCGTTGTTTTCGTTTTCTCAGCATTCATATCGAGGCCTGCCTTTTTGCTGTTCCCTTTCACTACCTTCACAATGTTACAGACACCTTCATTCGTACTTGCAAGCAGGACTGTATCATTTGCCTGTCTTAACTGGACGACGGCCTGTAATGACTTCTTGTATGTCTCGAGATTCACTAGAAATAAACTCCGCATAGATTTTGAAAACATAGTAGGGTATGATTTTCGATATAATAAGCCACTTGCTACTCTAAGGTATCGAATAAATAGGGGCGGGGGGAATGTAGGAATATAG